GCTATTTTTTGGTTGCAGCCGTCATTGTTGTTTAGCGGGTCCGGGCTGGGGATTCGAACCCGCCACCTTAGGTGTACGTGGCTGGCGCCTTAGCCGGTTGAGCTATAGGCGCTGAGCCTTGCTTTCTTATCTTTCATCTTACTGCTCAAGTGAAGACCAATATGACAAATTGTCCACGAATGGTCTGTTCATGGCAGGGAGCCAGAAACCCTGTCTCCTCAATCAGATTTTCATTTTGATTACAGGAAGCAAAAACAGGGCATTTCCACGGGCCAAGATATTCACACCATGACAATGTATGTTCAACACTCATCTGTAAGGAAATAAAGCCCCAAGTTCCACCACCAACACTGTAGATTTCCATGAATTTCTACAAACATTAAAGACCCATATGAAACATATTTTCATGTATTACTTGGTTTCTATTAGAACTCACAGAACAAAGTGCTCTAGAAAATTCTAATACCGCACTCTTCTCCAAACCCCACTTTTATGGTTTAAGTATTGGTACTTGAAATTGTCACCATTTCTTCCATCCCGAAGATAACCCAACCTGTGTCTGAATTCAAGCCTAGCTTTTCACTGTGGCATTGGTCCATGAAAAACAGCTGAATTAACTATAAGCAATAAATAAATGAACTCCACCTTTGCAGGTATTTGCATTCCTCCTCCACTGATTGTCCCTTTCATCCAAGTTTGCAATAACCGTATCTCAGTTCTCAAGTACGATAGAGCTAATAACTTCTCAAAGGCCTCAGTCAGACAAAGATAATAGCTACAAAAACCTATAAAAGTTACTCAGATATGAGATTAATAAAATGGCAGACAAAGGACTGCAGCAAGTGATCAGATTTTCACCACTCATCTTTGAGAGATGGGACCCAGAGAGACCCGTCCCTGCTGAGACCAACCATCCTTACCGATAGTCTGCCAACACCCAAGCAGACCGCAGTAGAACACCGCAGATTGCAGGGCAGTTGGAGGCTACATAGCCCCAGTTCCTAGAACAGGAACTGAGACCTGGAAGGAGGTCAGTGCAGCACACTCAGCGAATGGATAAACTGAATCATCATTTCACAAGGCTGTCAGCCCATACACTGGTGGAATCTCAACACAGAACCAGAAAGAGATTGAGTTGAATTACTGCCTCAAATGAGTAATTCATGTCAAGAAATCCAACTTGATCAAGAGCAAGACCCCATCTCTACAAAAAAATAGAAAATTTTTTTTTAGGTGTGGTGGCAGAAGCCAGCAGTCCAGCCAAGGAAACTAAGGCAGGAAGATCGCTTACAATCAGAAGTTTGAGGATGCAATGAGCTATGATGGTACCACCTCATTTTACCTATTGAGAAAGAGCAAAACCCTGTCTCAAATAAAAAAGGAAAGAGAAGCTGGGAGCGGTGGCTCACACCCGTAATTCTAGCACTCTGGGAGGCCTAGGCTGGTGGATGGCCTGAGTTCACAAGTCCAAGACCAGCCTGAGCCAGAGCAAGACCTCGTCTTTAAAAGTACCCAAATGTTGTGGTGGGTGACTGTAGTCCCACCTAGTCAGGAGTAATTGCTTCAGCCCAAGACTTTGAGGTTGCTGTGAGCTATGACGCCACCACACTCTACCAAGGGTGACAAAGTCAGACTCATCATAAAGAAAGAAAGGAAGGAAGAAAGGGAAGAAAAGAAAATCCATATTATTACTAGGTATCTAAGTTATTTTCAAACAAACTCACAAAGCAAAAAACGGTTAAGCTCTATGTGATCTGTTAGCCTCTCCTAGCAGAGGAGTGACTAACTAGCCACTAGTTAGCCACAGTGCCAGTGCTAGAGAAAGCAGCCCCCATAAATGAAAAGCAGAAACACGCCTTCATTCAGTACTAACACCCTTCACTCACTACCCAACCCAAGAGGGGTCTCCTCCCTCAAATTCACCAATGTATCAAGCAGACAAGCCCACAAAGCTGACACCCACATAGATGAGGGTATTTAAAAACATTCATGGCTGGGAGCAACGGCTCATGCCTGTAATCCCTATACTCTGGGATGGAAGGCAGAGGTGGAAGGATTCTTCAGCTCATGAGTTTTAGAACTGCCTGAGTAAAAGTGAGACTGCCTCTACTAAAAAATAAAAAAAATTAGCCAGGTATCATGGCATGCACCTATGCCTGTAGTCCCCTCTACTTGCTACTTGGAAAGCTGAGGCACAAGGACCACCTGCGCCCAGGAGTTTGAGGTTGCTGTGAGCTACCCCGACACCATGGCACTCTAGTGTGGGCAATAGAGACCCCCCCCCCAAAAAATTTAAGTACTGCTTAACCTTCCTGGCCTTACTTTATGTTCAACCCAAGATGAAAGAGAAACAGGTTTGAGAATTTACTTTCATCATCAAGAAAGATGATTTACAATATTGAGACACAAATGTTAGCATCAAGAGATGGAGGGATGGCTGCCTGTTTAATATGGTTGAACATTTGTTTTGAGTCTTAGGTATAGCAAATGTCCCAAATCATTCAGATGAGCACTTGGGAGGCTGAATACTACTTGTTAGAACTGCAAAAAATTCTTGAACCCCCCCCCAAAATGGTTTTTTAAGTTAAAAACTTGTTTATGAAAAACCAAAGTACCAGTGTGAGTTTCCATACTACTCTTTCTACTTTCAGAGAATGATTGCTACAAAGCATGCTGTTTTTAAGGAGATTCTTAGAATGTTGAAATATAGAGCTTGATTAAATGTGGCTATACAAGAGTTGGATATTTGAGAAGATAGGATTATGATTTTCTTTTAGACAGGTAGTGATGACATGCACCTGTAATCCCAGTTACTCCAGAGGATGAAGTGGGAGGACCAATGGAGGTCAGACTGATCAATATAACAAGACCTTAACCTTGTCACTTTTTAAACAAAAATTTTCAGTCATTTAATCATCCACCAAGTTACCTAGTATCCATCAGCTCCACATCTCAGCTTTGTAGTACTCTTCTTTAAAGATCAAATGAAACCCCTAAAATGAGAGCTCTCTATATTTGCACTCTTCCCCATTTATCCAGCCTAGAATGCCTGCAAGTATGCCCTGGAGAACCTGAACTTTTCAGGCAGAAACTATGTACCACAAGGTTGATATAAACAGCTTTTTTGAGAAAATTATACTCTTCTCTCCAGACCACATGACTGCCAGTGTAAAAGGGTAAAGTGTCAAGCTAAGGACCCAGTTTCTAAGCAGACGTTTAGCCCCATCCCTCTGTCCCTCTTACTGCAACACTTTCTTCCCTTTTTATGGTTTGTCCATGAGGATGAAACAGCTAGACAATTGTCCACGTCCCTCTTCTAGGAGAGATATATCAGCCCAGGCAAGATGGCTTATTCTTATAATCCCAACATTTTAGGAGGTTGGAGGCAGGATGAAGCCCAGGAGTTCAGAATGAGCCTGGGCAACACAGCAAGACTCCATCTCTAAAATAAATAAATAAAAATAAATTGAGATCATTAAAAGTTATACTGTTTCCCTGAATACTAACTTCACTACATACTTCTTTGACCACTGGCCATTTGAGAAATTCCAGGTCCTAACCTACAGAACTGTTCTCACCTCATCTGCTTAAGGAACAAGGCCCCTGATAATAAAAACAACCAAGATTCTTACTAATAAATCAAGTCCCCTCTATAGAACGTCTCTTAGTGAAGTTCAATTCTAGACCACCACGCTTTACACGTACTGTAGCACAAGCAGCTCAGGTTTCCAATGTCCAAAGCTGGCATTCACCAACAAGCAATAAATAAATACACAGCTGCCCCTTACAACCCTAACTGCCCAGAACTCCCTGAAGAAAATCCCCTTTTACCACCTCTTCATAAGGTTCCTCAATATTGGTGCAAGATAGTCAGTGTTCGTTTTATGTACCATGTTTATTTCCTTAGGCAAGAATTTATTGATCACAGAAGACACCCCCAAAACTTGCAATTGGCACAATATCACACAACCTGACCTCCCCCCATATCACACCATTTTAGAAAGTTAGTTGAAACCAGTGATTTTCAGACAGAGGCCATTTTGTCTATCACTCTCCCCCCACCCCCCAGAGTTCTGGCAATGTCTGCAGATTACTTTTGACTATTCCAAAAAGAGAGGAGATTGTCACCCAAAAGAGCCCAGGAATGTTGCTGAACCTTGAGAAACCCTGCATTAGATGGCTAGTCAATTACTAGGTCCCAACCCAAATGAGAATTTACATCTTTCTGCTACCTACTGCCAAAAAAATGTGCACAGGTCATGACCACAGAAAATAGTATTCACAAATGGGGACCTTAAGACACTGTGTGCAAGTTACTGATCCAAAACCCAGGCGTGGGCAGCTTTGCTAAGTTATACTTCCTCAATTTAAAAAAGAAGAAAAAAAAAGTCATGAGTGTAGCATAAAACTTCAGTTCACAACATTTGGTATATTTGGACTTGCTGCAGTTTTGGACAAAGCTCAGAACTATTCCTATACTAACAATTTGCAGGACACTTCCATCCTAGCTGATGTGAAGTCATTAAATTTTTTTTCTGTTGATTCAATTTTATTTAAAAAGCCACCACAGCCTTTTACTTACAAACCAAAGCAGCAGGACTTCCATATTAATGATGTGGTATATAAGACAGACAACTATCCAACAAAGTCCATGCAACTAGTTAAAGCTCAGACCAGACCATTATTGTCAAGGAAAGAAAACCCCTAGATAAAAATAGCACGAGGCTGGGAAGGATTATCACCTGGCCCTTACCAGTGATGAGAAACTCAACCTCGGTGCAGGGCTTTTCTTTTTCCTTAACTCACTTTTACAGCCGAGAAACTTAAAGCTTTTCAGAGTAAGTGTCAGGAGGCAGTTAGATCTCCGACACCTACAAACAGTGCTGTTGTTCTCAATTTACCAGGTTCGCTAGACTAAAGGGAACATGACTCAACCTTACAGACCCCCCGGGATACACAGTGTATTTGTGAATGGGCACCTAAACTTGGAACCCACTTACCTAACGACTTGTGGCAGAGAAGGCCTGGAGAACCTAAAAAGTGAAAGATGGCTGAAGATGGGGGTGAACTTATTTTCAGAGCATGGCACTTTCTGCATAATCTCCAAAAATTTCTCCTACCCACTAAAAGCCCCCAGACATCTGAGAACTCTCATCATCCAGACAATGTGGGAGATGGGGCAGTTTCTTAGGTGCCATGAAGGTGGGACCTAATGCTCTAGTTAATTCCAGTTTTCAGGCGCTACACTTGATACAACCCAAGTTTTCTAAATCTGAAGACCAAAATACAGCGTTTCCCATTAATAGAGGACAAGTTAAGAGCCATGCAATCCTGCTTTCTGAGAACTCCAACACCTTCAGCGAAAGGATGTTATAATCGAAGCGTCCCACTACCTATCAGACAACAGCTCTCTCCCATTTCAGTTTTGCTGTATTAGCCAAAATGAGTATAGGACTCGCACTCAACATCTTGATCAATTATGTTTCCTACCTTTTTGGTCTTAACCCCATCCTATCCTCATGGGAATCCCTAAACCAAAACAAATGATCAGAACATTTAAACTTTACATTTTTTTTTTTTTTAAGACAGAGTCTCACTTCGTCACTCTTGGTAGAGTGCTGTGGTATCTTAGCTCACAGCAACTTCAAACTCTTGAGTTCAAGCGATTCTCCTGTCTCAGCCTCCAGAGAAGCTGAGACTACAGGCACCTGCTGCAATGTCTCACTATTTTTAGAGATGGGGTCTCACTCTGGCTCAGGCTAGTCTCCAACTTGTGAGCTCAGGCAACCCACCCACCTCAGCCTCCCAGAGTGCTAGGATTACAGGCATGAGCCACCCTGCCCGGCCTAAACTCTACATTTTAAATAAAAATGCAGACTGTCGGATGAGCGCCTGTGGCTCAAGTGGCTAACGCGCCAGCCACATATATCTAAGGTGGTGGGTTGGAATCCAGCCCGAGCCCACCAAACAACAATGACAGCTGCAACCAAAAAATAGCCGGGCGTTGTGGTGGGCACCTGTGGTCCCAGCTACTTGGGAGGCAGAGGCAGGAGACTCACTTGAGCCCAGGAGTTGGAGGTTGCTGTGAGCTGTGATGCCACAGCACTCTACCCAGGGCGACAGCTTGAGGCTCTGTCTCAAAAAAAAAAAAAAAATGCAGACTGTCTTCAGTTAACTCATGACACTGTTATGGCCAAGGTTTGGCCATCCCTTATTTCATCCTTAATCCAAACTCTTTTGGTTAACCATAAAACCAGAGACCTGATCTGCCACAGCACAGTATAAGCAGAGGAAAGAGAATAAAATGAAGCCACCTATTAGGGTAATAATTTATTTAGTTTTACATGTCCTTATTCATGTAATTTTTAAAAGTTCCTGTAGCCACTAAAACCAGGAGGCAGGAAATAGCCTTCATAAGCTGACTCCAATTTAGGCAGAGGATCAGGACAATTCGGCTGTTATTTAAAAAAAACCAGTTGCAATATACTAATAAATAAGGAGTTGGGTTAAGGCAATCAAGTCCTTTTTATGTGGTTGATTCTGGAGCAAGAAAGCTAGAAGAAAACTCTCTACCAAAAAAATTTTTATTTTTTTAGAAAAAACATTGCTATCAAAATTCCTATGCAGTATCTACACTTTAAGGAAAAAACTACCTAAAGAATTGTAGTCTCAACTTCCCACTTCAGTTTTAGTAAAAAACAGTTCCTTTCAACTTTTTTAAAGAGACACCCCAACCAAGATCCTCCTACGTACAAAGGTCTATTTCAACCAACACACACAACAATATTCTTGTTGAAACAATCCAGTCACTTTGGTATTTACTGACTAGATTAAAAAGTTTATGACGCTTGCTTTCTATTCCAAAGAGATTTAAATTTTTAAGGTTACTTAAATTTTAAACAGCCTTGTATTCTTAAGACTTTTTTTTCGTTTTTCTGTTGGACAAACTACTTTCATGTTGACGATTCTGCACAAACGGTGTGGCTCACAACCTGTATCCATTTCAAACCAGGACTTAAATTTAAAAGACCAATGAAAGAGTGGAGACTGGTCTTTGAATCTTTAATCGACTATGGTAACCACAATTTCTTGTACTAATTAATCTTCTAGACCTCGAGATATATGCGGCCTAGGTATAAGTTACATATCTAGACAAGATTTAAAAACAAAAACCAAGTTAATCAAGTATTTGAGCACCTACTAAAAATTACACGACTCCCACAAAGACGTGTTTAGCGTTCATGAAGTTCTAAGAAAAATGCTTCAAACAGCTGACTTGATGGAATTTCCCCAGTTGTTTGAGCCAAAAAGACTGCTTTCTCCAAGGGGCGGCAGGAGCTGGCAATTTCGGAGGCGAGAAACCAAACTCTGTCGTTTACTGCAGGCTAAGCAGATTTCACATTCACCTACCAATCACCACGATGCCAAGAAAAGCTTTAGTAACATTTAATATGAGAACACATTCTGGTTCCTCCAGAGATTAGCCTAAGACTGCTCGAGCATCCGCTCAGTGCCGGGCACCAGGGCAGGCGGGGGCTTCTAAGTACAAAGTCTCTGATTCCCTTCTCCGTAAAACAGAAAGGTCTGCAGGGGCTGCTTGAGGCAGCCTTTCGGAGGGACTAAGCAGTGAGGATGCTCGGGGTCTCGTCCAGCGGGTGCTTCCCGCACTGCACGAGAAGCCAGGGCCCCGGAAGAGAGCAGGAGAAAGAAGGCAGAAGAGGGAGGGGGTCCAGGAGCTCGGCTGGGCCTCCCTAAAGCGGGGAGGACGAACCTCACCTTGTTGCGATCTTCCTCCTGCTGCTGCAGCAACTCGGGAACCGCGGCCATGACGACGCGGACTCGAGCAGGAGCCGCCTGGCTGTGCGAGGAAAGAAGAGGCTGGGCCGCCGCCGCCGCCGGGGCGCCTCTCAGGGGCGGCCGCAGCCCCGCCTCCGCTGGCCTCCCTGCCCAACGGCGGCAGGAGGCCTCGGGACTCCGCCACCATCCCAGCAGCCCCGAGAGCAGGCGAGCAGGGCGCCACGTGTTCCCCCAGAGCGGCCTCCCCGTCCCCGTTGCCGTCCATCTTGGAGCCGGGCAAAGATGCAAGACGGAGCCTACCCTTACTCCGCACCACGCGGAGACAGCCGATCGCAGGACCGCGACGGGGATGCGGAGGGACTGAGACTCTCCCGACCAAGTGCGTCTGGAGAAAGACCGCGCGTCGGTGCGGGGGGAATTTATGACTCAACCCGGATCCAAGATGGCGACGAGCGGTGACGTAACAAGATCTCGTGAGAGCAAAGAGGAGGGATTCCCCCGCCTGAGGGGAGGGATTACTGACCTATCGTGCCCGCATAGAGGCTCACGAGGGCCTCGGGGCGGGGCGTGAGCGCCGCAGTGCATGCTGGGACCGCCCTTTTAGGGTGTGCCTAACTTAAGTCCGAAGCGCGGGACGGATGAAAGTACGGGTCGCGAGAGGTGGTTTGCTCCCTCGGAATTAAGAGAAGCGAGGTGGCTTCAGAGGTAGCTGGGCTTCTATTTAAACTGCCTTTTCCCTAATGCAGACTCCTGCCCGAAGGGTCACAACGGTCCTGTCCCTGCCCGGGCTGCACGGCTTTCTGTGGATCACGAAGGTTGGTCCTGCGGACCGCCGCTTCCCAGCTCCGACTTGGAACAAGCGACGTGACCCTTCAGAAACCTGACTTCCAGGTCTGTAAAAAGTGGTCATAATAGTGCCCACGTTAAAGGGTGTGAGGATTAAATGAGAAATATCTATACCCAATACCTAGCAAAGAACCTGGTGTTCAGGAATCAGTGTAACTGTTATTTATGACTGTTACGGTCGCCATAGGACTAGCTTCTTGGTTTTGTTCCGTGACTCATAAACAGGCCTCCCTTCCTTGGTGTCACAGTTCTTCAAATTGAAGATTGGGGATGTCTTGCTGCAGGCTGTCTACTGGTTTACATTTAATAAGTGCTGGTGCTTCTGTTATTGACGAGAATTTTTATCCAAAGTTGTGTAAAAAGTTTATTGAATACAGTTTTGATGTGCAACATCGTTCTGATTTGGTTTTCTCTTTAATAGGTTTACAAAACTTAAAAAGGCCCTCGACACTGCAAACAGACTAGCCAGAAGTGAAAACAATCTAAAGATGAAGGCATTTCAGAACGTCTGCAGGCAGCTCCGAAGTTCAAAGGGGTTTTCTGTGAAAACTGTTGCCCTTGGGGATTTCTCTACTTCCTGTTATTTATGTGACAGGAAGAAAAAAGTGAACCCATATGAAAAAGTGGACCAAGAAAAATATTCTCATTTAGTGCAGTCTGTCTTGTCATTCAGAGGCCTTGTGCATACCCCAGAGTCATTGTTTGAAGAAGATGCTTTACTCTATGGACCTGTGAGTAAGCATAAACCCCCAAAGCAAGAAGAGGAAGCAATAATTCCACAAAATTGGTTTCCTATCTTCAATCCAAGGAGAAGTGTTAAACCAAATGCAAGTTATCCTTCAACTCCTTTGAAAATCCCTTTGCAAAGGACTGTGATACCAAGCGTGACCCGAATCCTTCAGCAGACCATGACAAAACAACAGACTTTCTATTTGGAGAGGTGGAAACAGCGAATGATTCTGGAATTGGGAGAAGATGGCTTTAAGGAATATACTTCAAGTAATTGAATTCTAATTCTGTATAATCACAGTATTCTAGAATATAGAGCGCTGTGTCAGAAGAATGAGGTATTTTACTTGTGAAGAATTACTTTCAAATAATGAAAGAGTACGGCTTGGCACCTGTGGCTTAAGTGGCTAAGGTGCCAGCCACATACACTTAAGATGGCAGGTTCAAATCCAGCCCTGGCCACCAAACAACAATGAGGGCTGCAACCAAAAAATAGCCGGGCGTTGTGGTGGGCACCTGTGGTCCCAGCTACTTTGGAGGCCGAGGCAGGAGACTCACTTGAGCCCAGGAGTTGGAGGTTGCTGTGAGCTGTGATGCCATGGCACTCTACCCAGGACAGCTTGAGGCTCTGTCTCAAAAAAAAAAAAAAAAGAGTAATTAGCATGAAATAACAGTTTGTGTTAACTAACCCCTCATGACAGTCCTATGAAGCACAAATACTGTTATTCTCATTTTAAAGGTGAAACTAAAGGACAGATCAAATAATTCTTCTAAAGGACACAGAAAATGCATTTGTTTTATAAGCTATACACGTAATATTAGAATTGCTTATTTTTCTTGGCTATGAAAAAGCCACCTGAAAACAGAATTCTAGTTTTTTGCTAAACATTCTGTTCAGAATCTAGTAAATACCCATTGCTCTACTTATCAGTGTATGTTGACTCTGATAAGTTTATTTTCATTTCTGTATTTTTTTCGACAGTCTCACTTTGTCACCTGCTGTTGCGAGCCGTGGCATCAGAGCACCCTCAAACTCCTGGGCTCAAGGGATTCTCTTGCCTCAGCCTCCCAAACAGCTGGGACTATAGGTGTGGGCTACAAGACCACATCTTGCTCTTGCTCAGGCTGTTGAACTCCTGAGCTCAAACAGTCCACCCACCTTGGCCTCCTGGAGGGCTAGGATTATAGGCCTGAGTCACCGCTCCTGACCCTGACTCTGATAAATTTAAAGACCCTGACAATAGGCAGAACACATGATCTATATTTAGATTTTGGTAAATTGAGATAATCAAATTTTCTTGATAAGAATCAGAATAAATATACCTTAGCCTTCAACTTCTAATTTATTAATTTAGATAAGTGAAGAGAATATATTCCATTCACAGAGACCATTGGTACAGATGAATTAGCTGGTCCCATAAGGATTACATAGGTGTCTTTGGTTATAACTAAGTTTTACATCTGTCATTCCTTAGCCCATGCCTTCCAGAGAGCAGTACATGTACCCCTAAGGGTAAGTAAGCATTTTTATTTTTAAGACTAGTGTACTTATTTTCAAAAAAATTTAAAAATAACTGCTTCTCTGTAAGTGTGTAACACATTAAACATGTTGCATGTTTTAAAAAAATACATGTATTTAGGTGGTACCTGATTTACCAAAAAAATGGTCAAGGACTTAGCTTCGTATAACATTGCTCAGCTATATGGGACAAGGGCTAACTGGCTTCTTAAGACAGTGAACCACCAAACTACAGTATTCTCTGCTTTCTGCAAGCAACATACTTTTTTTTTTTTTTACTATTTTTTTCTTTATTAGATCATAACTGTACATTAATGCATTTATGAGCATAATGCAATCTTTGAATGGTATGTTTACCTTTTTATTTGTGCCACTAGAATTTAAAATTGAGATTCTCATAAGTTGTTTTGCTTTTCCTTAAATCAGGACTCTCACAGCTAAAATTAAAGGAAATATAAAGGCAGAAACTTGCTGGGACAGGTGGGACTCAGGGTCTGTAACTCCTGGTGCAAAGGAAGTATACCCATGGCCTTACTGATAAGGGAGTGGAATTTCTCTTTGTGAATGAGCCCTGGTAACTCAGGCCCAGAGAAAACTAGAGTGGTTTTTTTATAGAGCTAACTTTGTTGATAGAGATTAGTGTTCCACTATGTCTCTTATTAACTCAGTTAACTTTAAGAAATGAGCATAATCACTTTTTCTAAAATCATAAATAGGGGAAAAACTCAGATTAGTGTGATGACCGAAACAAGGAAAATTAAAAAAGCATATATCATAACTCACTAAATTGATTAATAGATCTGAAGAGGTAAGCTGAAAAATACTAGAGTAGTTAATTCCTTTCTCCCTGGTCTTGTTATAGACCAGAGCACAGAGACGTGCCAAGAGCTGCCATTCGTCCAAACACTTGAGCCATTTATTCCCCAAGCATCAGTTTACCTTTTCAAGATTAGCAAGGATGAGGAAAGTCTGATTTAGTCTCACCTATATTTGTGTTGTTCATAGTGGAAAGGGCTTGCATTTATTTTAATTTTTTTTGCTTTCCTTTTTTCTTTTCTTTTTCTTGAGACAGGTTCTCCCTCTATGCTAGAGGCTAGAAGCATATGGCTTCATCATAGCTCACTGCAGCCTCAGATTCCTAGGTGTAAGCAACCCTCCTGCCTCAACCTCCTACGCTCTCAAGTAGCTGGGACTATAGCCCTGTACCACTATATCCAGCCAATTTTTTGTAGAAATGGGGTCTTGCTATTAGTCTGACTCAGGCTGGTCTTGAACTCAAGCTATCTGATCCTCCCACCTCAGCCTCCCAAAGTGTTAGCATTACAGATGTGAGCCATGGTCCATGTAGTTCTGGCATTACAGGTGTCCAGCTGTGGATATTACATTGTCCAACCACTACACTGAATTTTTAATCCCAAAGTATCAGCCATCCTGCCAATTCTTTCAGAATATTGGAACACGTGAATTTTTTTATCTGTCTTGGCGAATGTTTTAAAACACAAATTATTTATTGGGACTTGAAAACCTTCACTTTCATTCCTTCAAGTGAATAGTGATTCAGTCCTGCCTGCAATAAATCTTTCTTTGATCAGTTCTTGAATTAATTTTTATAAAGTGAATTATATTTAATGTTTCTGAGCCTTAGATTCCAAGGAATCCTGTAATTTAGACTTTCAAGATTATGGTCATGTTAAAAATTTTAAGGAAGCTCTTAATTCTGTGAAAGTAGAAAATAAACTATAAAAGGTAAGTCTAAAATGTGTTAAAAATGTCCAAACATGAGACTTAAGAAAACATGCCAAAAGGCAAATTAACTAATATTACACTATGGGAAAATGTATGTTTACTTTCTGATGTAAAGTTTGCAGCAGGAGATGAATTGTCTGTGTGCATGGCACTTGATAAAGCAATTTTTTTCTTTCCTGTTTTTAACATTTTTCTTCTTCATTAAGCTAGTCTATAAATAAATATACTTCATCTCCCTAGGTTTTAATTCTATCAGTCTTAAATTTCTTGTGGGTCTTTATGTGTTAATTATTCGAATTGAACCAAATAAATTTGAAGCAGAATAACTTAGTTGAATTTCATTTAATTATCCAAGTAATCTCCCAGAAGGGATTCAATTTTTTCCCAGTGGTATAACTGATCTTTCAAAATCTTTATAAAAAATAGTTGATGTACATAATGTGGTTTGATATTATCTCAGATGCCTTAGTTTCCTACTTTTCTATGGGTCTGTCTCCAAGCATATGTATTTCCTACTCTTCTGTTTCTGTCCCTGTCTAAATGGTTCTCTAACAGGTGGTGGACTGCATAGATTCTGGTGCCACACTGCCTGTCCAGCTTTGTTATATTTGTTGAATCTCTTTGTGTTCCCTATTACAATGTATAAGGAAAATAATTCAGGACACAGAAACCATCTCAGGCTGTTCCAACACTAAAAAAAAGTACAGAAGAATGTCACATATTTCCTCTCCCTCCCTCTTCCAAACCCAACAGTAGCCACTTCCTCATTTTTAATTTATATGTGCCTTGGTTTTCATTCTTGCTTGTCTCTAATCCTGTTTTTAAAAAGATTCTCCCACCTATGTTCATAATTAGGTTTTGGTTAAAAAAGAACAGTAAACAGAAGCACAGTTCCCTACATTTCTATTTTTTTTTTATCATAACCATTTAACTTATTAAGTATGTACTACTACCATAAACTGTGTGTGGTCTTACAGCTCCTACATTTATAAGATCTAGTTCTAGCTTTGACCTAATTCTTTTTCTGTTACTGTTGCAGTTTGGCCAGGGCCAGTTTCGAACCTGCCACCCTTGATATATGAGGCCTGTGCCCTACCAACTGAGCCACGGGTGCCGCCCAGACCTAATTCTTCTGGAAATACATTATTTCAGTTCATCTTATTGGTAATAAGGGATGTCCAACTTGCAACCAAGGGCCGTATGTTGATTTTGTGAGGACTTTTTTTTTTTTATATGTGGTGTTGGATATTCAGAAGATTGCACAGACCTTTTTTATTGCTAGTCAGCATTCCTTTTTTTCTTTTTGCTAATCAGCTTTTACTAGTGTTTGTGCATTTAATGTGTGGTCCAAGCCAACTCTTATTCTTCCAAGGTTGGGCAGAGAAAAGATACTCCTGAAATTATTCTAATACCTTTGGTTTTCAAAATGCGTGCTTAGGTTTAACAGGAGGATAAAATTTAGTGTCTTAGGGATTGTTACTTAAAAATAACTTTAATGTAGGCTCGCTGCCCATAGCACAGTGGTTACGGCACCAGCCACATGCCCCAAAGCTGGCAGGTTTGAACCCAGCCCCGGGTCTGCTAAACGACAACTACAACAAAAGAAAAATAGCCAGGCGTCTGTAGTCCCAGCTACCTGGGGGCTGAAGCAAGAGAATCGCTTAAGCCCAAGAGTTCGAGGTTGCTATGAGCTTTGACACAATGGCACTCTACTGAGGGTGACATAGTGAGATTCTGTCTCCAAAATAATAATAATAATTTTAATGTAATTTAAAATTTTTTTCTTTATAAGCTATATAATTTTTATCATTCAGAGGTATTTCTGGGTATTTGTGTTTTAATACTAGTCTTGTGCCCCCTCCCTGATTCTTTTTCAGATATATTTTTACAAGGGAAACGGTTCCATGAAGACTTGGAATACATACTGTCACTTTCACCCCAGGGAAACGTAAAAGAGAGAGGTGAAAATCTTGAATCTGGTTACATCCAAAGTGTCCAGCATATTCTGAAAGATGTCAGTGGAGTTCGAGCCCTCGAAAGTGCTGTTCAACATGAAACCTTGAAGTATTCAGGTCTGCTGGACTGTGTGGCTGAGTATCAGTAAGTATGAAATCGTTTCTGTCCTATTGTGGAGGTGAGTTAGTGCAGGTTGGGACCTGTCAAAAGGTACTTTTTCCTCTTAATTTCTGCTTCAAGGTATGCCTATAGGGACTGCTTCGTCTGCATCTTTAAAGTCAAAACCTATGTGATAGGTAAAAGAATTGGGTGTGGGGCAAAAGATTTGGACATATATAAGGGAGTAGCCACATAATACTTGTCAACCAGTATTTCAAAATCACTCATTGGTGGAGAGGAAAGGTGTATTGTACTTCTCAATTATCTCTAGCATGGCCTATTCCCCCCCCATACCTCCTCCCTTCCTCCCAAGCAGGATACCAGCCATAAGATGTATGTTGCAGTTTAATTTCTGTATTTTCTTCCTGTTAAAGATAACACCATGAACTGCTGGTTCAGAAAATCACCTCTTTTCCTGGCTTCCAGGCAGTGGTTGACGTGGATAGGAACTCTGAACTTACTAAGCTTTGTGCAGTTTGTTTTTTTTCTTTTCAGTTTGAGCATTCTGGGACTTGCAGTTCTTTAAATTGCTGCTGTTACTGTTCTTGCCAGTACTCCAGATTCCAAGGGCAGCTATGACCTGTAGGTGTTCCTATGCCAAATAAAGCAAGGGAATAATAAGAACAAGATGGGGAGAAAAATTTGTGTATGTAAAGCCTGGAGCTCTAGTTGAAATTTAAGTAAGAAAGATGGGTGCAGTGGCTCACACCTGTAATTCTAGCACTCTGGGAGGCCAAAGCATGTGGATTGCTTAAGCTCAGGAGTCTGAGACCAGCCTGAGCAAGAGCAAGAGCAAGATCCCATCTCTACTAAAGATAGAAAAATTAGCCAGATATAGTACAGATACCTGTAGTGCCAGCTACTTGGGAGACTGAGGCAAGGAGATCTCTCGAGCCCAAGAGACTGAGCTTGCTGTGAGCTATGATAATGCCATGACACTCTACCTAGGGTGACAATAAGACTCTGGTCTTAAAAAAAAAATTTTTTTTTTTTTTTTTTTTTTTAAGTAAAAAGCTTAACAGGCTCAGTGCCTGTGGCTCAAGCGGCTAAGGCGCCTGCCACATACACCTAGGGTGGTGGGTTCGAATCCCCAGCCCGGGCCCGCCAAACAACAATGATGGCTGCAACTAAAAAAATGGCCGGGCATTGTGGCGGGTGTCTGTGTCCCAGCTACTTGG